AATAGAGTATCGGAGACCTATTCTGGCTTATAATGCTCAATTCATTATCGTTTTATTGCCGCTTGAATATCAGTAATATTCATGGGTAATACTTCTACAGATGATACTAAAAATGCAGAAAATAAATACCGTAAGATACCGGGTTTTTATTCAGATCTTATGGGTGCTCTCCTTATCAGTTATTCAACATCACCGGAACAGATGAGGTATATTGTTGCTTGTGATTTGTACGGGTATGTTAATGCTTCATTGATATACAGTAAAAAAATAACCAAAGTAGATTCTACCTCAAAGAAAGAATATTCATCTTTAATGGAATCATGCTTATCTGATTTGAATAATGCTGTGATGAATTTCAAGACTACTGATACATTTACGGGAAATGAATATCTCAACCGCGCAATGAATGTACTCAAGCAGATAATTATGGATAATGATATGGTATCTATAAATTGGTCATACGTATCCAATCCATTAGGAACTGCATCTGTTGATCAGGATAGAGTCCAGAATACCAGATATAAGGAGATATGAATGAGCTGGGGGATGATAGATGGCTCTCCTCTGATGACAGAGTGTGTTATCCATGACAGTGAAGAAGCCGGATTTGGCGGACAATCAATTATGACCGTTGGAGATATGGGAACTGGTAAAACAACACTCATGCTGCGTATTCTGCAGCGTGTATCTCATTTAGACAGTCAATCAATTTCAAAAACAGAATATCTGGCAGTCCACAAATTGAGAATCAAAAAAGAGCAGAATCTCCTTGAATCAGGAAGGCAATATTCAAAAGCAGAATTAAACAGCCTGCTGCCGCAGATGCCATGCAAAGAAATCCCTGAGACTGTGTTATATTCCGGGCGTGAGTTTGATTACTGGCATAATTTTCTTGAAAAAAATATCTGGAGTGAGTTTAAAAATCCAAAACCGTTATTACTTCATCTGCCAAAAGGAGAGGAGTTTCATTTTATTGTGCCGTTTCAAGGGAAATTAAAGGACTTAAACACAGAGGGTATATGTAAGGAATACCGGGACACTAAAGAACTGCTTGGAAACCTGCAGGAAGGTGCAATAAACGTCTGGTATCCTCCTTCAAAATATTCATTTAGTGCAGACATCCTTGAAGAACCAGAGATCAGAAAGGCAGGAGAAAGGGCAACAGGAAATCTTAATCCTAAATTGATGAACTTTGATCTAATCTATCACTGTATGCAGTACAGGTATCAAAAACATCTGACATGGTTTGCTGATGAAATTCACTCTATCATTCCGGGAACTGCATCAGATCTTGAATGGCATGTACTTGACTGGTTCTCACGCAGCATAGATCCAGAACTCCGCCGCTGCCATATATCGTCAATCGGGACAACTCATTCATGCAGCTTAGTTGATGCTCGCCACAT